ATTTGAGTAAAGGTAAGTAGGAGATCCCCTTTAATAAATCAATATTAATACATTTTATCTGTAATACGCTGTAAAAGGGTTTGGAACAAATCGAACAATTCTATTTCAAATATAATTTTATCAAGCAAAATAGGTTTGAAAATCAAATGACAATATTCCATGGGATTCGTCAATACAAGAACTAATACAAGAATCTAAGTATCAACTCCTTTGGTTCATGAAAATGTTAACAAATTGTGCCTTCACTACATTTGATGCTGAGATAGTAAAACAAAAATAAATAAATTACGTTCCTAGAGTTTTATTACGGATTATAATTTAATTAGATATTTCTCACTTTAGATCCAAAGCCAACATCTTATAATGTATTTAAACGTTTTTATCCGATATCTCGTGAGTACATAAAGAAGTTCATATTGTAGGTTATTTTGAAAAAAAAAAAAATAAATAACCTCTCATTTATACTAAAAACGAAAATTTTAACGTAAAAAAAATATGAGAACGGGAACACAACATAAGTTTCTAAAAAATCAATACGTTGGCAACTCATTTAGATTATTAATTCGTAATACAATAATTATTTATGCAAATGAAATAATATAATTTTTTTTTAAGGACGATTTCTTCTCCGAATAATCGAGGCTCGATCTATCAGCACAGACCACTACAAAGAACTGCGGTGAGAAATATATATATTATACCCTCTGATAATAAGCCAGTTGGGAACCTTCCTCACAAACTGACATGACCCCTCCCAAGGTCACTGCCTAGTGAAAGCGTGGAAATTATAAGTTTTAGAAATCTCATTTGAATTTTTTAATTTTTTTTTCTTGTGTTTTAAGACCTTTATGGCTTTCGTGGGGAGAGGAGCTGTTCATTATGTAAAACAGTAGAGATGAAACGTTTTCTTAAAGCCTCCAACGAAACCTGACTTCTGGTATTACGTGTTAAATATTTGAGCCGTGAGTAGATATCAAATGTAGAATGTTTTTTTTTTTTATTTTTATTAATATCTAAATATTCTTTCTCCTAGCACAACAAATTTAATGATCTTCATATTGATATACCACATTATTATAAAAGAACATATACTTATTATTAATCCTTGTCACTTCATAGCTATATTACTGTTTCATAACGTGTACAAACTATCAAAATGTAAATTTTCCCATAGTTTTATTTAACCAAATATTTGAAAGGTAGATGTGAGCATTTAAGATGTATGATGTGAGATTATATCAATGTAAAATAAAGATGGTTTTTTTTTTAATGACAGTAGTATTAAAATAGACGACACACTGTGGTCGAAATCACAAATTTAACACGACAAAGTAGATTTTTTTCAATGATGGGTAAATAGTCGATTGATCTATTATATAGAATGGATGAAACAAAATTTTCAGGACTTTTCGTCGGGATGTTTTTATTATTAGGTTAGCCGATGTTTCGACCCAAACATGTGGGTCATTCACAGCACTATCGTTTGGGAATCGAGACAAGAACTAATGAATGACGAACATTTTTGAATCGAAACGTCGGCTAACCTAATAATAAAAACATCTTGACTGAAAATTTAGTTTCCTCTACATTCTTCCTAATGTTTTCATACCAAGTTGTGTATTCATAATGTTTGAAGTTCTAGGATTTAGAGAGGTGGAGGTGGTTTGGAAAATGATGAGAGTATTCAAATTACAATTGAGAGATTATTAGAAATTATATAGAGATCTTGATTATGTTAAAAAATGCTTATAATTTGGTAACTTGTTTGGAGCTTTTCCTGTGTACATTTTATCAAATTCCAATTTTTTTTTTTTTTTTGTATTAATTGGAGAAATTGAATGTATTACCCGAAGAATAATGTCAGCGACTTAACATTATATCCCTTTTAATCTTCGAATTTAAGCACTTGCGAAAAGAGATCCATATTTTACGGGACATGGCTAAACCTGTAAAAAAAAACAAGTGATTGGTCGACTGCTTAAGGCTTAATTTTTTTACATTAACATCGTAAGGTAATATGAAACAATCATGAAATTGCCTCCAAAAATTTGAGTTTTTTTCACTTGGTTTTCGGAAACGTTGTTTATTTCAAGTATTCGACTTTGTTTATTCAATTGATAATGAACTAACTCAATTACTATAATTAATATTCATTTTTTATTGCTTGCACGATAGATTTGATCAACTTTTATCTTCTTATGGAGCTGACATAATAAGACATTTTTCATTCATTAAAAATGATGAATTAAATGGTTATTTTTTCTTGCTTATAGAAAATTAATTTAAAAATTTATGAGATTTAAAGATGATATATTTGTATAGCGAGCGATAATTGGGGACAATAATAAACAGATATAACAGATAACAAATTAAATTGTATTTATACACTCATGACCACAAAAGTCAAACGAGTTATACAACACATTTCGGTAAAACTCTCTAGAAACAGTGAATGGCCACTTGACATAAGTTCCCGGAGGCAATAGATATTATATCCGCTAACACCTACACCTTAGTCCCGTTAAGGAATTTCGAAAGTGCTTATGGAATATTAAAATGTAAGCGAAAATTGACGTAATAGGTAAAACGTCAGTGGTTGTATATGTTCAATTAATAATTTCAAGAAAAACATAAACAAAGAGTTTAATAATATTTTTTGGAAATTAAAATTTCTTTACGCTCGTTTTGCACATTGTTACTAGATTGATCCGTCAGATCTTCGATAGATAGGGCTCGGTTAAAGTCTGCTGAAGTCGACTTATCGAAGTGATTTTGCATATGAATACAATTATCTTAAAAAATAAAATTCAGACCTGAATATTATTAGCAAAAATAAATGTTCATAATTTCATTCTCTTTATAATGAGCTATTATTCAAAATTGTATCTTAATGCGAAGCTCTTTTAGAATGGTGAAAAGGGAAAAAATATTGTTGAAAACCAAATGATAACGAGTTTTATTGAAGACACATTAAAACATCTCAGAATCTAAATATTGTAAACGAGGGATTGTTCAACATTTCATCTTCACAGTAATGGGCGATTATTCAAAACGGTATCTTAACGCGACGCCGTGTTAGAGGCGAAAAGAGAAAATATAGTGTCTAAAACCAAATTATAAAGAATTTTATTTTAGATATGTATTAAACTGCAAAAATGGCGATACTACTGGTGATATCGATATAGATGGTAATATGTTTGAGCAGGTAGATAACTTTAATTATCTAGGCTCTACGATAACTAGAAAAAACGAAATTGAAGAAGAAATTAAGGTTAGAATGAATGCGGGAAACGCTTGTTATTTTTCTGTGACAAGACTACTTAGTTCGCCCCTCTTGTCCCGAAACTTAAAAATTAGAATTTATAAAACAATTATCTTGCCTACAGTTCTTTATGGGTGCGAAACTTGGCCGCTTACATTAAAGGATGAGCAGCGTCTTAAGATTTTTGAAAATAAAGTATTGCGTAGAATATTCGGACCGAAGAAGGATGAGTTAACCGGAGAGTTCAGACGGTTACACAACTCCGAATTGCGTGAACTGTATCCGAGTAATTGAGATAATTTCATCGCGGCGAATCAAATGGGCTTATAAAGTTGTTGAACTTATTAACGAGAGAATTCCTAAAAGGTTAATATTTGCTGTGCCGAATGGTAAGCGTCCGAGGAGTAGACCGAAGCGAAGGTGGGAAGATTGCAATAAAGCCGATCTGAAGGTACTGGGTTTGGACGGCTAACGGTGGAGGGAGGTGTGTAATAAGCGATTGGTGGTGTCGGCATCGAACCTTCGGGTTCGCTAAGCCTTTTATTATTATTATTATTATTATGTATTAAACTATTTCAGATACTTACAATCGGACCTGCATACTGTAAGCGAGGGAATTGTTCAGCATTTCATCGTGTCTGTAATCGACTATTATTTATAATTTATATGCCAAATTATTAACATCGGCTTGTTGATGTTGTCATTTCTATCATTTGGTCTAAAGCACACACTTCACTTTTGTTATTTTCTTCTATAAGTAACTCTTATCATTGATTCATTATGTTTTATCATTAATAAGTCATTAACTGCACGCATGAAGAAGCTAAATTTAATAAAATTTCTAATAATAATAAATTAATAAGTTCGCTAAATTTCTTATTGTTCACTAAAATATTCATAACTCACGATTTTCTCCAATACATTAAGAATACTGTTGAAAAGCTGAATTATTGCTTTTTCCGAGAAATATGTTTTTTTTTAGATATTATACTTTCATAAGATAGAAATAAAGAAAAATATATTGACTGAAAGGTTTACCAATTTCGTTTCATCTAAATAAAGAAAACATTCTTGAAAGCTGTTATTCTACACCTCAGATCCTAAAATCTTAGGTCTTTATTTTTTGATTGATTTAAAAACTCGTATTTCAAACTTTCTGTAAATGTGGCTAATATTTTTTGAACAAGTAAAACAAAAAAAAAAACCAACGATATAATTTATATCAGTCCATATCGGGGAAACCCGATGCCGAATAAAACTGTATTTTCCCCTCATTACCGACCCCAGTGCTTTTATGTTTTCGAATTACATAAAATTCTCCAATGCTCTTGGTTTGTTAATGATACGCACTTTTTTTCGATCCTTTCATTCCTTCTAATAAATATATACCATTAAATAAATAAATAAAACATATACGACATGCCTAGTTAACATATTGCGATATGTTCTTAATTTTTACTTATAAGTGATACTTTCTTCCTTTATTTCAATTGATTACTTTCCATAGAAACTATTAGAATTCTGACCTTGCAATTGATCAGTAGACGTCAAGATCAAGGATAATTTTGCTGAAACTGGAGTTTCTCCAACTCCTCGAATTAATTAGGAATTATTTTGAAAAAGTAATCCCCTCTTGGAAATTTTTAAAAATCGAAATTCTGAAACAATTTATTAATCCATGGCCTTAAATTTATAGGATGACATCGGCCTATGAATAATTTATAAGGGGTTGAAGAATATGTGGAGGAGTGGAGTTCGTCTTCATCATTGTCAGCTCTGCCAGTTTTATTGTTCTCTTTTATTGCATCTATTCTTCATTCCAAGGTGAGATTATTTTTTTTTTTACTTTTTTTGCCGGTTCTTCTTTGGGCTGAACAAATTGCTAAGACGTCAGCTCTTACGGTAGTGTTTTTTTGCTCTCTTTATCGTTATTCATATCAAATGTACTTTAGATCCTATAATCTACAATACATTATCCCGGAATACATGTTGAATATTTCCTTTCTTTTACCTCTTTAAATCGGCGTTTGTTTGTTTTCATTTTATTGCCAACAAACTTTCATAACTATAACTAAAGTACGACATAAAAATTACTTTACATAAAGACCATCGCATACCAATAGTTATATAGGGACAGTTTCTCGATAACATACATGGATATTCAATACTAACACACTCATACCCGATAACACACTTAGGAGGCTCAGAAAAACCAAGATGAGGGATATATTAGCTTCAAAATGTACACTAATATCGTGATAGGATGTGATACCACTGTGCACTCCTCTCTTTCACGCTGATGTTTATTTTATTATAGCATCCCCTTTCTTTACCAGGATAATTATCAAAATAAGTGATAGTGGACTGTTTTTATGGCAAGTTAAATTTGACAATTGTTGTATTTTTATATTAAGAGGTAATTAATACATATCATTACTTTTGTGGCCAAATCCATTACATTATGGTTCGCTAATTTAATTTTGTATCGAATTATTACTTGCTGGTGGTAACATTTTAATTTACGTTGGTTTGTGGCCAATTTTTAATTAGTGCGTTTACTTCCAATTGGTGCAAATTTTCAATTTATCTAAAAATCTATATTGTACATTGCTCCGTTTTGCATATTTTAATTAATTTTATCGCTAATTTGTAACCATAATATATATTCAATTTGTCCAGCTTCATGTAATCCCAACAATAATCTCAGCCTCTTATTTATAATATTTTCATTGTGCTTCCTTTTCTATTTCATAATAATTATAATTATATCACAATATAATATAAATAATATTATATATAATATAATAATTATTATAGTGTATTCAAGGGGAAATATCTAGATCGAAAAATAACTTCTGTCATCAAAATAAAATCAAACTACCTCCTCCAGATAAATACCATTTTCCGTACAGATTTGTAGTCTAAAATCTTTATTTTGTATTATGGGAGTAGAAGATAGCAGGAGCTCAACACATTAGTAATTAAATGAACAGCTGTATACTTCGTAAAATAATCGCCATAGTAGAGCAGCACTACTTGTGCTTCTGTACTCTCCTACTCTCCTAATACTTCAATAAAATAAAATATAAAAGTCACTGAAAACATTTTTTTATAAATAGAGAGGTCAAAAAATATATTCTCCTGGTCTAAATGGCGTTCCTCTCAAGACACTTGCTATCTAGAGAGTTATCTTCCTTGAGAGTTATTAAAAGAAAATTGATAGTTTATTGTTTTCTCTAAACACCATTCAATACTACTACTATCATTCTTCTCGGCAGGAGAAGAATAACTGATTTTCAATATTTCTAGCACATGTGGGTAAAGTTATTACTTAAATTTATTATTTATTATTTTAAGAATAATTTGGGAAGAATAGTGTGTATTAGTACAAAAAAAACTATTTTAAAAAACCAGTGCAATGAGGTCATTTTAAGATTATTTTTGATGATATATTGCTATTATTTGTTTAATACTATAGTCTTAAAAGTAACACTTTCATTGAGTAATAATACATTATGTCACAGTAAAGGTCATTGGTAATAATGAGAAAAGAGTTCATTCACACCATGATAATCTGAAATTAAAGTTATCAACTCGACATTTATATCGTTTAAATAAACAATTTCGATTAAATAATCGAAGCTATATCTGTATATAGCCTTGTAAGCGAAGACAATAAAGCTGCTGACAACAGTGCTTTATAACGGTCTGTGAAATAGAGAATGTTCGCCACGGGGCTGAACCATTGGCATTCGCATTCCTTACTGGCTATATAATGGTATTTATTTATTCAATGTCTATATATCGTACATGTATATACTGTGACTCAGAGTGAATTCATACACTCCCCAGAAAAATAGAAAAAATACTTAAATGATTACAGCTAACAAATACAATCAGAAAATCTTCTGATTATTTGTAATTTCATTTTAAATATGAATAAATCAGTAAAATTAAAATATTCTACTGCGATTATTTAAAAAAAATAAAATTAAAATACTTTTACTGGATAATTTTACCTCACGGACAAAATGATACACCTCACTTTTAAATAATAGTATCAATTTAGTTCAATAACCAGTAGACCACATGTGGATCTACGGGAGGCTGGCTTTCGGGCTGAAGCCCCCTCCCCCCCCCAAAATGGTATAATATAACCATGTTATACAGAAAAAATATTAAAAACTATCTTTTAAAGTATTCTGGTTCGTGTAATTACATTTAATAGGACTTTAAGAACCACTTAAACACCATTCCATATAGGTAGTTAATTTCATTCTTTTTTTAAAAAAATAATTATCATTATATATATATATATATATATATATATATATCTGGAAAAAAAAATCTTTCGTTAGTGAAATTAAGTCCAGAAATTAAATCCTGGATCAGGTAGTGCAGTAGACAAGCCATTATTTTCTACCACTCCTTACATTCTGCTTGTAATGGAGTCGATCAATATTTTGGTGATTTCGGGCTTAAACTGATTTATTCTTCGAGGAGATATTTTTTTACTTCTTTTCTAGAAATTTCGTGTTTTACAATTTCTGTCTCCAATTATTCCCACAATTATATCACATCACCATCTGGTAACTGAGGTGGAGTTTTTAAGTAACTTTAAGGCAGTTATAAAGTAGCCATATTTTAACTTATATGGCAGAGTGTTCGAGGTCATTATAGTGATAGAAAACAAGATTTTTTTCCCTCAAATTTTCCACAATATCTTTCAAGGTTTTTCTTAACATGTTTAAGGAAATCATGTTTATTCACTGTAACATATTTTTATAACATATAATATTTCACTATAAAGTGAACTATTTATTTATTCTATAAATAATTGTGATTAAAATATAGTATAGAATAACATTATTAAGTGTAACCTTTGAAAGAATTTGATAATTGCATATGGAAGAAAAAGAAGTAAAATACATATCCAGAGACTTGGTTATTTGGACTCAGGTACCTCAAAACGTGTATTTCGCTATACTTTCCCTTACTATGTATTACATATATATATATATATATATATATATATATATATATATATATATATACATGTAAGTGAAAGGAAAAATCAATATACGACAGATTCATGTTTAGATCTATCAGTATTAATTCATAATTGTTTGTATGATTTCGTGGATTCTATGAACTATTCCTATGAACGTGAAATCAAGGAAGCCATATCTGGTGACCGGTACCTCCTGAACTATTCATGAATAAATAACAATAATGAAAACCATTTATTTGCTGATAATGTTGGGATACTTTTAGAAAACTTAGAAGAACTTAGCCATTGATATCAACCTCCGAGAAAGAATGGCTACCAAAACAGACCTTATCAGATTAAACTTGGTCTTCTCTTGTAAGTGAAGACCATGTTTATGACGACTGAAAAACATGGGTAAAAAAGTTCAAATGTCTTGGAGAGACCATAGAAGAGAACGGACTAAAAAACAGAATGATTTCATGGCAGCAAATGCCTATCAATGAATTGCAAGTTGAAAAGGCTGGAGCTCCTGGAAAGAAGAATATTACGTAAGATCATGGTTTGGATACCTGTTGAAACCGGCTGGAAACTTCAGAGCAAAATTCACAAAAAATAGTACAAAATGTAGAACACGAGAAAGAGAAGGTTGTCATTTCTTGGGAACTTCTTCAGAATGGACAAAACTATGTTATTTAAAAGGATGTTTGATTTCCTGTGGAATAAGAAGACAATAATGGCATAAATTAAGGAGGGTCGTAAAAATCTAGAGAGGTCCTAACGATCCAGGAGGTTCAGCTGTTAAATAGAAATACTTTCCGGACTATGATTCGAAGTTGGGAGAGGCTTCAGGTCGAGTGAATTACGAGGACTGGAGGAACTTAGATGGATGAACAGAAACAGCCTTAAGAAGGAGTACTGGAGGAAGAGGAAATTTCATACAAAAAATCAATTAAATTGTTGTGTGATCCGAAGTGGCCAATACGAGAACAGAACGGAAAAAAACCATCACTTGTTCAGTGTAAAAAGATAACGATGGATATCACTAAAAGAATAATGTATTATTATGATAAAAATTAGAGGTATTAGTTATTTATATTCATAAGTTAGGTAGTGAATAATAGATTATTTCGAAATTTACCTATCTTATTTACTTTAATCATCTTTTATTTTGCCTTGCTCTTAACTTTCATTGTAATCCGTTATTCCAACTACGTGAAATATCAGATAGTTTAGTTTCCAAGCAAATTGGTATTTGCCTTGAATTAGCTAGGTAAATGGAAATAGAAGTGAAAGTACACAAAGAAATAACTAACTATAAACAAAATAAGGAATCGTGTGCCAATAAAGTATATGTGGATAATGAAGGGAACGAGGGTTATTGAGGACGTATTTGTTATGTAAATAATACCTTCTAAAACTAGAAGGAAGACAAAAATAGACTGCGAGAAAGATAGTCGGGACGCAGTTTTTTTTTTAAAGATTTTGCCAAGGTTTTTATCCAAGCTTATAGGTCACTATCAAGGCGTGTTACTAGCGCTGAAGGTGTTCAAGTACCTGGGCTGTAACATGCCCTAATGCCCCGATTGTTTTTATAATTTCGTTTCAAAACTGTCAAAGAAATGTCCAGAAATCTTGCAGATAGCAACCTGGAAAATAAATTTTTTTTTTTTTTTTTTTTTTTTTTCCTACCCCCCAGGAATTTCTTGAATAAATTCAGTATGTATATAAATGTATATATACATAAATTTTCAACTTTCCTTTTATTGTCCAAAGGCATTTTAAGTTAAGAGGGCTCTGCACGCTGTATGCGTTCTTTGCATTTGTGGCCAGAGGAAAATAAAATAATATTTAATACAATTTTTACTGAGTTTCATACAATTTCTTTGATCGGGAGTGTGTGTTTGTATAAATAATTGGCTATTTTGATGATACCTATTAGTAATTTCTTTTTATGCCAAGACAGGTTTGTGGAGGATCTTTTAGCAGCGTTTGCACATTTCTGCTACATCCGTTTTTCTAACACATCGCCTCCCTATAAGGCGGGTGCACACCCCTGCTGATGGTTGAGAACCCGGCGGCACGACAGATCCCACATCCCACATCCCGAACAGCTGACCTCCGCAAGATGAGGTGAACTTGTCATAAGAGAGTGGACCGGAGAGGTCATAGAGTACCTTCGTGACCCAGAGCTCGGGCCTTATAAGGGCTGCTCTCTGAGGCCAGCCGTGACCTCGGTCATGGTCAAATATCTCATGGCGTCTATAAACCGGAGGTCTTACCTCGCCGTTCATTACCTCTTGCGCAACCGGCGCTTGGTGCTCAGGGTGTACAGTCTGGAATTAAAAGGTTAATGATGATTGTGCTTAGTAGGGGAGTTAGTTACGTAACTTGGAAACATTAGTGTATTGTGTCCATCATCAAATTACTTTTTTTTTTTTTAAATCACATTATAAAATGCTACTAATATTTTTCTTTTTGTTTCAGGAGTCTCAACACTCTCCGATTAGGCAAACCGCATCGGACAATATGAAACTTTCCAACTTATGCTGTAATGGAGCCGAATCCCAATCTAATTGATCAGGAAAAATAAGTGATTACTTTGTTTCATTAATGCTTAACTGAGAAAATTTAATGTTATAATTAGAAAAATCCGAACGAGTCCGAAAGCAAAGCCAAGGGAAGAGGGGCCTACGGCTTCCAAATGTTTTTGCCCGATATTGATTAATCTAGCGCTGGAAATTATTATAATTTAATTATTTAGATTACGAAACTTTGAAAATCAATAGAATTCAGTTGAATACAGGCATTTGGGCGTGTATTTACTTATTAATAAAAATAATAATAATAATAATAAAAGGCTTAGCGAACCCGAAGGTTCGATGCCGACACCACCAATCGCTTATTACACACCTCTCTCCACCGTTCGCCGTCCAAACCCAGTCCCTTCAGATCGGCTTTAATGTAATCTTCCCAACTTCGCTTCGGTCTACCCCTCGAACGCTTACCATTCGGCACAGCAAATATTAATCTTTTAAGAATTCTCTCGTTACTAAGCCCAAAAACTTTACAAGCCCATTTGATTCGCCGCGACGAAATTACCTCAATTATATTTCCCGGATACAGTTCACGCAATTCGGCGTTGTGTAACCGCCTGAACTCTCCGATTAACTCATCCTTCTTCGGTCCAAATATTCTTCGCAATACTTTATTTTCAAAAACCTTAAGACGCTGCTCATCCGTTAATGTAAGCGGCCAAGTTCCGCATCCTTAAAAAACTGTAGGCAAGATAATTGTTTTATAAAAGGCTCAATTCTAATTTTTAAGTTCCGGGACAAGAGGCGCGAACTGAGTAGTTTTGTCACAGAAAAATAACAAGCATTTCCCGCCTTCAGTCTAACCTTAATCTCTTCTTCAATTTCGTTTTTTCTAGTTATCGTAGAACCTAGATACCTACATTTATCTACCTGTTCAAACATATTACCATCTATATCGATATCACCAGTAGTATCGCCATTTTTGCAGCTAACCATATATTTTGTTTTATCCACGTTTATTTCGAGTCCTGGATTAATAAAAATAACAACAGTAAAATATAAACTATTACTGCGGCCTCCATTATGGTTGACTGATCGGATTGCGGGTTCTAATGATAAAAAGGTTCCACACTTATGGCTTAGTGTAACGATATTGCTGTTAATACAAAGTAGCTTGACAAATTACGCCAATCGAGTCATCATCGGCTAAGGAAACAACCTAAATCGCGTTTATATAAAAAATGCACACTTTTCTCTATTGTGAGTGATGTACTTATGCCATGTAATGTGTTTCTCTTTTTGGACTGTTCATGAGAAATGATGTATTTTGCCTGCATAAATGTGATTTCTTATATATCTTAACTTTTGAATAAGCATATACATAATAATTTTTCTTGGTCGCTTACAAACGTCCATTATGGGAAATAATAAACACAAAATATTTTAAAGCTCTATATCTTTACAATACAATTTATGTATTGTAAAAAGAAAAAGGAGTGTCTTTTGTGTCATTAATCTTTGTGTATATCAGTCGAAATTTTTGGTACGGAATATTGCGGCCCATATGATAATCTTTTTTCCCTGTAATAAGAACAAGTTAAAGAAGGTTATATTAATGCAGAGTCCAGATACTTGGAATTTTGTCAGGAGCTGGCTTAATTTTGACGTCCCTAACCACAGCCCCCTCCCACATAAATGTCAACTTCTCATAATAATAGTTTGAGTAATACATTTCGATATAAATATTATCATATCATATCATTAACTCACATTATTCACTGAATCAAGATCAAAACAATTAAAAAACAGGAAAAATATGCGTTTTAAACTGTTTAATATGTTTTGTTTAACAAGTTAAACACTTGTCGTCCTCTAAATTTTGCCGACCGTGGAAAGTACCCTCTTTGCCTCTATCCGGTTCCGGTCGAGCCTTTTATTGCTATTGCCTTTTAAAATTATATGGGCACTGTTTTCATTCCTCAATGCTCTTTGCAGATCTGCTCTGCCACAGCATAAAATTATTTACAAAACCCCTAATTCCAGGGAAAATAAAAAGTCTCAGGGTCAGTTTATGGCACAAAGGATATCATGGTTATTGGATAACCCGGTCAGAAAAAAAATTAGTAGTTGAACGGTACAAATCCAGCTACTTCAAGTTTTCCCGACCGCCGGACTGACGTGCCATCCTAATCGGTCATATTGTCTCGTGGGAAGAGGAAATTACTAGAATAAAACTAGCCAGGGAATTGTGGGAAGTCCTCACTATTAGTTTGTTCAGTTAAAATCTATAACGGTAGCTTGTGGTGGGAAGCTAAATTTTGGTTGCTTTTTGACCTTACTGAAAAAATTACATTCCATGGATATTACGTTATAAAATAAACATTTTGATAGGTCTTAATAATAACAATTTATTTATTCTAGGACGAGTCCCTTTAGAATAATACAGAAAAAACAGAACCTCAGAGATACATAAATAAAAAAAAACAAGTAAATAAATAGTCATAATAAAAAAATGAAAATAATTATAAATTACTTTCTAATTTTAATCAGTTAATAATGAGAAAAAGGAAAAATACATGAAATCAATATAATGACGAACGATCTAATAATTCATATACATAATTACAATAATATCTACTTACAATTTTATGTGTACTGGATGTATAAAAACTGATTAAACAGATATGCTTTAAAGGTAATCAGGATATTGGAATGACGGGTGGCACGGAAACGAGTATTGCGGGAAAGAACAGAAGATTTGAATTAAAGGAGCTCGGATATGTATGAACGACGGCGGAATTGGATGACTTTGAAGATGAAGGATGTCAGGAAATACTTGGGATGGTAGGAAGGATAAAGCCACTGAAACTCTGCATGAAAACTGGAAACAGAGGCGTTCCTCGGGATCCCGAAGATCAGTCGTGTAAAGCAATTTATCAAACTTTTAATTTCGCTTCGAAATTCCCAGAGATGCCCCTATATACCGTGCGGTAATAGTCAAAGCTGGAAAATATTAAGAAAGTGACTAGGAGCCTACTGGTTTCCAGTAGAAATAGGTGACGGAGGTAAATTATGCGTTTTAAATTGGAAAAGGTACGGCGGGAGATATTGGATACAAGTTTTTTCCAGAAAAGCGTTTGATCAAAAATTATCAACAAGGTTTTTCATTGTGAGTTAAATTTGATGAGGTCCTCATGTAGGAACAGAGTTGGGATATTAGGAACAGTTTTAAGTAGCTGATTGGAGCCTTTTCCTCCAGAAAGATTGCTTTTTTCTTTTCCGCATTCAACTTCAACATTTTAGCTCTCACACGGTAACAAATCCTATCCAAGTCTTCTTGAAATTTTTCTGCGGGGATAATAGGTCGCAGGGCGGGAAGGACAGGTATATTTGGAAATCATCTGCACAGATATGGTATAAGGAGTGATGTATCAGGAGGAGAATGTCATTAATATAAATAGCAAACACAGCATGAGATAGAGAGGAACCTTGAGGGACACCACAGGAGAGGTGAAGGGTCTTAGATGGAGGTTGACCTGGGGGCGGGGTGGCCGAATGGGCTAAAGCGTGTGCACAGCACCGCGAGTTGCCCGGCAACCAGATATATGAAGATTTGAGAGACAAGGAAAGTACGAGTTCGCGTCCCGGTGCCAGAGGGGATTTTAAATCCTCACCCTCCGGCCCGGGAAAATCCCGTATAGCCTAAACGGCGAGGTAGGTAAGAACCAAAAAAAAAAAAAAAAAAAATGAAAGTAGAAGGATTTGAACCAACGCAGGGAACTGTTGCAGGACATTACGTTGATTGGAATGGGTTGATAAGGGAACGTTCCTCTAAGAAGTTGGGGAGTTGATTTTGGATAAGGCGCTCCAACGATTTTGGAAGGTTGGATAGGACAAAAACAGGACGGAAGTCGTGCAGTGAGGTAGGGTTGGAAATTTTATTTAAAGGTCGGTCTAGAGCAGTTTTTCAGGAAGATGGAATTTAACTATGTGTTTTTTCAACTCTTTGAGAAATCATGTGTTAATAGGTTATATATTTATTTAGTTTTTAAGGGAGTGATCCGGACGATAACTAAAGCGCTCTGGAGTGAGGAAGAAAGGTAAGAGACTAATATGAGTGAGTGTCTTAGGATGTAAAAAAGAAAGGAGTCAACGGTTATTGAAGGTAAAGCTCAGATGATGTCTCTATACAGCCTTCAATGACTCAGATGCCAACATAACACGACAGATGTAACGTGGATAGACGCAATAAACAAATATACCAAAGAGCAACACTCTGTAACAGAATTTGATAATAACTAAAGACACATAACGCTAAAGCAGGCAAGTCAACGCATCATGAAATTAACATATATTATTTAAAAATGAAATTTTTAAAAGTAATAAGATCTTAACTGTTTACAAGAATTATTGTCGTGGTTAGAGTTAGGATCCTTCAATAAAAGCGCAGTAAAAGAATCTTTTACTTTAGAATTTTTTTTCTGTTTACTAAACTTTTTAGAACTTGTTAAATAAGAAATATTACACTCTCTCTCTCTCAATTAAGGACAGTTCAGTAAACTACATTTTCTACACAGAGCTTATCCAAATTCCATGTTTTAGAGTTTAGCTATAAGCTGGCGTGCCTTTAATAACTTTTACAAGTAAAATCCCTCATTAAATTTGTTAATAGAGGCTTACGTATATATTCACGTACAAAAGTATCTACTAGGAATTTCCGGAATATATAGCGGTTTAGGTTTGACCGAAAAAAGTTGAAAATAAACTTTAATTCACAATTGCGAAGTCAGGAAAGATTTTTCAATTTAAAACAGTTTCTTAATAAAAAATAAATTGGTGTTTATGAGTTTTATCATATAAACTGGCGCATTATTAATTTTCTAGAAAATTTCGATTGTGATCTAATCCATGTATTTTTATATCTAATCCATGCATTTATATCTAATGTGTGTATGTTTATTTGGTCTGTGTATTATTTTATAAATATGAACAAGTT